CAAGCCATAAGGGAACGAGTTCTCTAAGGACGAAAATAGATGACGCTGGAGCCCTGCTGGTTGCCAAACTAGAGCAAGTTGGGAAAGAGATCCTTGCTAAGACTGAAGAAGTAGCCGATAGAATGGAGGTGGTTGCTAAGAGGAGTTATGCTGACGTATTAGGAGGGCCACGGGGGGGGGAGAGTAATGCAGGATCAGAACAGGTTCTACAGCAGCTTGGGACTCTGAAGAAGTGTGTCGAAAAAATGAAAATTAACGGACCTACTGTTAGGGGAGAGGAGGAACAACAAGAACGTTTCCAGCGCAGGAACAATGTAATTGTTTTTGGAGTCCCAGAGAGCCAGGCGGAGGGAACTGTGAGTAAGGTAACACACGATAAGATGCAGTTTCAAAATACTTGTACAGAGGTTTTGAAGATTCCATCAACCCCTCAAGATGTGAAGAGGCTGGGACAAAAGCAGGGGGATAAGGCTCGCCCCCTCAGGATCACACTAGCGAGCGGGGAAGAGAAATGGCAGGTTATTCGGCAGGCAAAAAACTTAGCAAGGAGCGAGGCATTTCGGGATGTATTCATTCACCCAGATCGCACGGTAATGCAGAGGGAACAACACAAGAAGCTCCTGCAGGAATTGAAGCAGAAGAGGCAGGAGTCAAGGAAGAGCGGGGACGGGTGTACATGGGTTATACTCAGGGGAGGGTAGTGGAAGCAAGTGTGCCGACACAGGGCTAGGGTGCAGCAGTGCACCCTCCACCCGCTCTAACCCCACCCGGGAGGCGGCACCAGCTCCTCCGACCGGACAGGAGGAGAGCGCCGTGTAAACAATGACATTTCTAACCACACCCCGCAAAATACAGTGTACTTAGCAAATGCTGCAGCTTCTGAGAATGGTGGGGGGGGGGGTTACTACTAAGAGCAGAGACGTTACCGAGAACAAATTCTGGCTTGAATGTCATGTACACTAATACTGACACGTTCCTTGATAAGAGAGAGGAGTTTGAAACACCACTAAGAGTACACCAACCAGAGTTGGTCAAGTCTGGTCTTTGATAAGCTCACACTCGGTGCCGTCACAACGCTCTCAGTCGGACCCGTAACCACGGGGAGGCACTGAGGGGAACTACCCCCCCCCCACCTCCCCCACTCAAATGCACACTAAGGTGGAAGCACGAAACAGTAACGTGAGAGTAAAGGAGTATTTTTTTAAACCTTTCAGATCTGGTGTCTTCTTGGTGATTTTATTCATCTCTGGGTAATGCCACGTGATTCTTTTTGTCATAGTGAAGAAAATCTGGATCGCAGCCAAAGAGAATATATAAATTTGAATTGGAAAGTTTGGCATCATGGCAGACCTGTTTTTCAAGCAGTCGGCAGCCCCGACTGCCACTGTCACTAGCCACACTCACCGTTTCATTCCACCACAAGAAGCAAGTCAGTCTCGATCCTGCAGAGGGAGATTGTTTTTGAAGAATCAAAGTGGTGTAAAATTAAACTAAAGGGGAGAAACTTACTCATTGTCGGATCCTTAATTGACAACGCAACGGCGCTCAACCCTAGCCACCATCTTGTCATGGGGGACTTTAACTATGGAGACACCGACTGGAGGAATGAAACTACGCCAATTGACCATAATAATATCGCTACTCTTTTTGTAGAAACTCTGAGAGGCAATTTTCTATTCCAACATGTTAAAGGTCCGACTCACTACAGAGTGAAGCAAGCACCCAAACCGCTGGACCTCATTATAACTAACGAGGAGGATATGGTGGCCTAGTTGGAACATCTACTGTAGTTCCCTTCGGCACCAGTCACCAAGTGACGTTGTCCTTCAGATTTGACTGTTACTTAGTTCCTGACAAAAGCAGGCCAAAGTTAAAATATTACAAGGGTAATTACGACGGACATGAGGGGTATTCGCTGGCCTGACTCACTGACATACAAGCACTCAGACACTATGCTGAAAATCATAGCCAGTAAAGTGAACTATTTGATTGACAATATATATCCCCAAGAACAAACCTACTGGCTCCAAAAATACAAGGAGATCGTTGTACATGAACCATGCGGCGGCTGACAAAGTTAAGAAAAATCTCAGAAATTCAAGAGGTGGGTAATGATAAATCACGAACAGAACAGGAGGATGTATGTCTGGTTCAGGATCCAAGCAAAGTTAGGGTGCAGAAGGGCTGAAAAAGAGTTTCAGAGGCAGATTGCAGGCGAAATCAACTCATACGCAAAGGCTTTCTAAAGTATGTACGCAAAATCGAAATTAAAAACACGTGTGGGTTTATCAGATCTGAGTCTTGATGATGGTAGTTACGCAGACTTAGATCAGGACAAGGCGAAGGCGTTTTATAAATTCTTTTCCTCAGTGTTCATTATCTTCCTGCATTTGAGGAAAGCCAGTTTGACACAGCACTGACCTACATTGTGTTCTTAGAAAAGGGCATAAGAAATGAATTGTTAAAGCTTATGAACCACAAGAGTCCTGACCCTGACGTGGTGCATCCCAGAGTGCCAAAAGAGTTGTGCAACGAGCTTGCCGAGCCCCATAAAATCTTGTTCGGTCGATGCCTGGATGAGCAAAAGGTCCCCAGTGACTGGAAAATGGCTTATAGAGTCCGATATTCACGCAAGGTGATCGTCACTCCACGAATAATTATAGACCACTGAGCCTGACCAGCAGTGTGCAAAATACGAGAGAGCATTATAAGAGATGCCGTGAAGGAACATCTACAACGAAACAACCTGGTAAAGGATTGCCAACATGGTTTTATACCGGGATGGTCCTGCGTAACACAATTACTCAAGGTGCTGGATGTTTGGACTCTGGAACAGGGTGGCAGTTACGCAGAATCTGACCAGGATAAAGCTGAGGCATTGAACAGCTTCTTTTCCTCGGTGTTCACAAGAGAGGATGCAACTAACCTTCCTGCGTTTGAGGACAGACGGTTCGACACAGCACTGACCCACATTGTGTTCACAGAAGAGGGTATTAGAAATAAACTGTCCAGGCTAAAGGTCCATAGGAGTCCCGGCCCTGACATGGTGCATCCTAGAGTGCTAAGAGAATTGTGCAACGAGCTTGCCGAGCCCCTGAAGATCCTGTTTTGTAAATGCCTGGATGAACAAAAGGTCCCCAGTGAATGGAAAGTGGCTTATGTGAGTCCTATCTTCAAGAAGGGCGATCGTCACTCCACGAACAACTATAGACCGGTGAGCCTGACCAGCATAATATGTAAAGTACTTGAGAGTATTATCAGAGATGCCGCGATGGAACATCTACTACGAAACAACCTTGTAAAGGATTGCCAACACGGCTTTATGCCGGGGCGCTCCTGTTTAACACAATTGCTTAAGGTATTGGATATTTGGACCCATATTCTGGAACGGGGTGGTAATATCGACAATATTTACCTAGATTTTGCCAAGGCTTTCGACAGTGTACCCCACGAAAGGCTGAAAATCAAACTGGAAGGGTACGGAATTCGGGGAAATGTCCTCGCGTGGATAGAAGACTTTCTACATGACCGCAAGCAGTGTGTGGTGATTAATGGCACGAAATCATCATCCGTACCTATCACAAGCTGGGTACCACAAGGCAGTGTGTTGGGCCCGCTGTTGTTTGTTTGTTTCATAAATGACAAGCCTGACGTTGTACACTCCTTCATACAAATGTTTGCCGATGACGCCAAGTTATTTCGGGAAACCAAGAACCAAGCGGACTGTGAAGAGCTGCAGAAGGACCTTTCTGGGCTCCAAGAATGGTCGAAGAAATGGCTGCAGAGATTCAATGTCACGAAGTGTAAGAGGATGCACCTGGGCGCACCAACGGTAAGGAGGCGTATCATATGTCCCAACAGGATGAAGAAACTGCACTATTTGAGATAGAATGTGAGAAGGACCTAGGTGTGTATGTTGACAATAAGCTGAGGTTCTCGGGCCATTGCGAGAAGAAGGTAAATCAGGAAAATACATTATTGAGTCTTATTAGAAGGTCGTTCAGATATCTAAACGGTCTTTCCCTCGTAACGATTTTCAAGAGTGAAGTGCTTCCCCAACTGGAGTACTGTCACCCCGTCTGGTCCCCGAGATATACTAGGGACTGTCAGTTGGTTGAAAATGTTCAACGGAGGGCCACCAGACTGGTGCCTGCACTTCGGCACCTCAACTACCCTGAGAGATTGGAGCGCCTGAGCTTGCCTAGTTTATACTACAGACGGGCAAGGGGTGACCTAATTGAGGTGTATAAGCATCTCAGGGGGCACTACTCAGTTGAGTGTCCTTACTTGGAGCTGGCGGACGCTCGCCCCACAAGGGGTCACAGCTCAAGATTGAAGAAGCCGCAAGTCCAGAAAACTGTGAGGGCAAACTTTTTCGGAGTGAGGGTTGTAAACTCTTGGAACAATCTACCAGAGTGTTGTGACGGCACCGAGTATGAGCTCTTTCAAGACAAGACTTGACCAACACTGGAGCGGGTTCAGGTACATTCAGGAGCCGGTGCATGCCCAGTACTTGCCAACAGTGCGTGACAGAGACGTGACCGATCGCCCGGGCGGCTAGCGAGCCGATCAGTGGCGAAGAGGATAAAAGTAAAAGTAAAGTAGATTTGGCTCCATTTACTGTCATACGTTGTTTTCTATCAGTTAAGAATCCTTCGATCTATCGTAATGCATTATCATTAATTCCAATTTTGTTGAATTTGTATAATAAACTATGATGTAGTACACTATCAAATGTTTTTTTTAATCAAGGTAAATGACACCAAAGGCCTAATTTTTATCAATCATATTTGTCCAACCCTCTAAGGTTTCTATTAAGTTTGTTACACATGAGCATTAAGCTACAAATCCATGTTGGCACCTTGTTATTAGTCCATTTTTAGTTAAGTGGTCCACAAAGTATAACTTTCTTTACAATACTTTTTGTGATATTTTTTGTAGTATTTTTTATTATTCTCAGGTTCTTACTTCATAGTATTTCGAGCCCATCTATTATTATTATTATTATTATAAGGCAGTGTAGCAGCAGCAGTAGCAGGAGTCACTCAAGCACGGAAGGGACCGCTTCTCGTAACAATCACTCCACCTTATAATTTATCAAGTGAACTCAACCGTATACCAGAAACATGAAGACTGATCAGATACAGTATTCTGATAAATACAACGACGACAAATATGAGTACAGGTAAAAGGATTTGTGTTTGTGGTTGTGTTATCAAACAAACGCACATGGCTGCCTCTTATGAGTGTAAACAAGGTGAAATGTTCTCCCAACCATTTAATGATTGCCTCTTGGAAACTTGTCTTAGCAGTTCCATTGATTTGAAAACTAAAAATACAAGTGTGTGTCAAGAATTGTCAGTAATATCCACTTTAGTGTGTAATTGCTTAGGGCCGAGTAGCAACCATTCATTCATTCATCGTATCATACTAATGCTCGGGAATATGTGTCATTACAGCTTCACTATCTGTAAAGGTATATTTTCCTCAGGTGGACGTGGATGATGATCGTATAGATATATATTAATTACATTAAAAAGTGTGGAACAGTTGAGATCGGTATTGAGGTCTTTCCGTCATGGCGGCTGTGGTAAATGCAGTTCTTTAAAAATACAGTATGCAAGATAAGGGCACCAGATCTAAGCTAACCTATTTATAGCCTTACCTAACTCAGTCAAATATGTAACTATGTAAAAATTCTGTTTGTGTTCGAGCATGGAATTTCATAGTTCTATTTATATAAGGAGAAAGAGCAAGGAAAAAATAATACCTTTCTGGCGCAAATTTATATTTTTCGAGGATAAATATTCGTCCATTGGCTGTCCTCACGTTTTGTTACAAGAATATTTTTAGTAAATTTTTACTTAAGGACATGAGTCCCTAGGGGTTGACCAATATGATTTTCCAGTGTATTATGTTGTGTTTTAAACGAATCTGACCTTCAATTTGGGCGGAAATTGCTAGTTTTTGCCCCTCCTCCCAACAATAATGGAGGAGAGCCTGGGAAATCTGGATTTTGGGTGCGGGAGAACACGAAAACGAGTCATCTAACTTAACCTAACTTAACCTTTGGGCTGCACCATATCCTAACCTAACCTAACTGTGATTACATAGAAATTCAATAGCTTTATCGTCTTTTTCGTAAAACTCGGCAATAAACTTAAAATAATCGTATGAGCACGATTGACACCTAACCTCGATTATGGCCATTGTCAAACTGATCATTGAATTTCAAATACGTAGATTTTCAAATCCGTACCCAGGCTGCTTTGAAAAACGCAAATGTGATTGGCCCCCCAAAAATCGAGGGCTGATATCGATACATCATTGGTCACGACTGGATGACGTCAGTCAATATTGCGCCTGTGTGATCCATAGCTAACTCGGTTTCACGGCGGTAACATCTCCTCACAGAGACGAAGACTGAAAAGTACGTAAAATCAATTAAATTCAATTGTCACTAAAAAAAGCCTCACTATTATCCAGTTTTGCCATTTATATACAGTATATGGGCTTCAAAATGTTCAGAATAGCATGATCTAAATGTTTATAACTTTCTGGCACTCAATGTCCTAAAGTAAAATAATACCATGTTTTTTTATGGTGTGCTTTACTAGAATCTGACCTTCATTTCTTGAGCAAATTTGCGGTTTTTGCCCAAAAAAATGGGCATTTTCATTTGTAACAAACCACTAATTTGCACAAAACTGGCTGTCAGGTTTAAGTAAAACAAAAAATCCCTATCCTGTCCTAGCTTAACCTAACCTACAATATATACAACCTAGCCCAGTCTTTTGGGGCTTACCTAGAATACTTGCTACTGTGGTGGGGGATACAGCTGGGTGATCTGGAGAAGGAAGTGGTGGATAATTTGTCTTTTCTTAAAATTAAACAATTTCCACACTTAGGACACAGTCTTCATGTTGGGAGGACACTGTGATCTTGTAATATTTTTATTGCTTCTCTGTCATTCTCATAAACATGCTGAATAACATCACAAAATTTGTGACCAAGTCCCAGGTTGCCTCATTTACTGCAGGGTCTCAATTGTTTCTCGTACTATTGACTAACACAACATACTACATACCTGTATATTGTTAATCACTTTTGATCTTTTTTTCATTTTTGTATTTCTTTATGGTTCTTTATTATTATTGCAGTGTTATTATTAATATAATTAATTATTTTATTTTCAAATTTGTATTTTTTATTATGAATTATATTTACTATGAATTATTATTATTATTATTATTATTATTACATGTGTTATTATTATTATTATTATTATTATTATTATTATTATTATTACTATTACAGTGAACCCTCACTTTTCGCGGTTAATTCAACCCACGGCGGCCCGCGTAAAGTGAGAAACGCGTAAAGTGAACAACATAACATATGGGATTAATTGAAATAGAGACCGGGCCGACCCCCAAACTCCACTTTTTTAGACACAATACCTACGTTGTAGTAAAAACAACTTCTTAATTTTATGATGGTTTGCACACACAATTAATAATTAGGAGAAATATCAATAATATTAGGTTTTTTAACACTTACATTAGTAGAAAAGATGGCTGGGCACACGGGGATGGGGGGTTGGTTCCGAGGCAGAGGGCAGATTATTGGCCCTCACCTGTATCACTTGTGTCAATTGTATCACTATCCACCACAGAGGCTTGCAGGGCCTCTTTGTCAAACCCCTCAAAGTCCATATAAGTCCATATCCTCACTATCATTATCACTATCACTGATTTGGGCCGGCTGTGGTGGGTGGCGGGTGAAGAACTTGGTAATGTTTTGATGACTGGGCGACCTTGTGCGCACCCTGCTCGCGCCGCTTACACAACATGGCGGGAGAGGGCGGGAGGTTTGGATCCAAAAATGGCGCGGCTCGCCAGCTGCTCTCCGCGTAAAGGGGTACACGCACCGCGGAATGTGAGCATTCCGGTTTCGGCAGGGTACCGCGTAAACGTGGAAATGCATAATGTGGGACCGCGTAAAGCGAGGGTTGACTGTACTACTACTACTACTACTTTTTTTTTTTTTAACGTGGCCTCCAGCCTCCCCCAATAGCCACACCTTCGCCACCATTTTATTACCTTAATATTAAATATCCTAATACATAAGTAGCTATCCTATCTGTGTTGAATAGTTGGGCCGCAGATCTATGCAGCATTCAGTGACTGTAGCCTCATAGTCAATATCTGCAGCAGTTGTCGGGATTGGGGCAGAAGCTCTCGTTCCCCTGAGGCAGAGCAAAGTCGACCGAAGGAGAGAGAAAGACAGTCGACATCTCATCCAGGCTGTAACGTAACTTCTGGGCTGCTGCTTCTGTTCGGAGATCACCTCCGCGAGTCTGGCGTAGAAACATCTTGCACTTGGTCCCATCCCACCAGAGGTTGTGAACACTAGAGGAGTGAAGCTGCCTTGATCAACGTTTTGAATTCTCTCCCCATATGCCCTTTTCTTGTCGTTCTCGTTCCTCCTATGTGCAGCATCGAGAGCTAGGTTACGGTGACATGCGGCCATGGGATCAAAAATCCTGATGTCGAAGAAAGCTTGCTGTCCCCGCGTCCAGAATCCTCGAGCACTGACGTCCACACGGGCTTCGTTAGATGCGTTTGAAGTCCTGTGTTGGAAGATCTCACCATCCAATGGAAGGAGGGTCGGTTCTACCATGACATCCCGGCAGATTTCCTTCAACATATTTGCGGTGAGGTCCCTTACCTCGTCATGCCTCATGCATATGAAGCCCCCTTTCTTGCACACCATGGAGTGATCGCCATCATAGGAAGAGCCACACACGCATTGGGAGGGCAAACCTTCTACTGGCCGACCGTACCTACTACTACTTTTTTTTTTTACCATGGCCTCCAGCCTCCCCCAATAGCCACACCTTTGCCACCATTTTATTACCTTTATACTACTACTACTACTACTACTACTACTGTATGTACTACATTTTTGTAGTACCCGATGTGGGTCAGTGACCTGTGCTCGGGTGGGCTAATCTCCGTAAAAAAAAAATATATATATATGGGAGAGAACACTTATCATATTCCATCACGAGCCTTCACAATCCGAAAGTGCGCGGTGGAAGGCTGGTTAAAAATGATTGGCCAGCCAAGTCACATGACACAATACTTGGTCATTGGTTGTCATGTCACGAAGAGGAGGAAGAAAGGAGGAGGCAAGTGACTGGCAACATGGCGGATACAGAAATATACACGTAGAAATTTGTGAGATACAGTAATCCCTCGGTTAACGAGATTTCGGTTAAGGAATTACCTTCCATAAGATTCTTAACTTTGGTTAACGAGCAATCCCTTGATTAATGAGTTTTTAACGAGCGCCCCTCCACATGTTTTCGCTTGCATTTGGCTGCCCACCAGCTGTAGTATTAGTCCGCCAATACAGTAATCGGTTCTAATGGCTTAAATTCCTTACTATTTTAGTAAATATCAAGAAGTTTGTACTATTCAATAATTTTAAAAGTCTTATATTAAATTTTTTAGTCATTTTAACAATTATTTAACATAATTTAAGTACAGGGAAACTAGTTTTTAGCGCGCCAAACAGCCTGTCAACACACCATACAGGCGTCAGTCTCTGTGTCTTTTCAGTGGAGGTAACATCTTACTTCAGACTCTTCAACATAAACGCTTTTTTCTGTGTTTCCAGTCAAATTATTGGTTATTTTGAAATTTATTTTACATATTGACACTATATAATGCAGTGCAGTGTTGATTTAAAGAAAATAATCTTGAATTACACCAAATGAATTATTGTACAGTATTGTACCTATATGATTGTTGGAAGCTTTGTGCCCTTGCTATAAGTGTCAATCTGATGCCTGTCTTAATAAGTTAATGTATGTTAATGAATGACGAGCTAACGTAGTAAGCCATGGCAGTAATAAGTACCGATAATTCATCTCCTCACAGACACGTGATTTTACCAAGTGATGTGGCAAAGTTAGTACCAAAAACTCACTTGATGACAGAGACAGAATGGCGCAACCTTGGTGTACAACAGTCCCCAGGGTGGGTCCATTACCTTGTACACAGCCCAGGTAAGTAATTTTATATTTTATTTCTGAACAAAGAGTAATAGTGTTGACTTCAAATAATCATAAGATATGTTATGAACGATAGATAGTGCTGATAACCACATAGAAAACAAGAAAACACGAAGTTCCCAAATGCTTTTGTGTAATTCACATCTTCAAGGGTGAGTACACTCAATCTTTACTCACCCTTGAAGATGTGAATTACACAAAAGCACTTGGGAACTTCGTGTTTTCTTGTTTTCTATGTGGTTATCAGCATATACGTGGATCATGCACACCTACCGTGATCTATTTGCAAAGATAGATAGATAGATATGGGTATTTATTCAATAGAGTCATCATACAAGTTTGTTAATTCATTTTGTATATACAGTAGATAGTGCAGGTATACAGGCAAAGCAGATACTATATACTGTACTGTACAGTACATGAAGCTCTCTTGAAAAAAAAATCGGGTTATGACACTTTGATGTTACAAACAAGTCTTCCAGAATCTAACTTATGTTATATGAATTCTCTCTTGGGTTTATGAACTATGATGATGGAGGATTATGGATTACTCCAACCTTATGGCTGAGATGTGTTTCAGCCTTGCATGGGTTCATAGCATCAGATGATTTCTTTGCTGTTGTTCTCCAAGCTGACAAGACCTTTCAGTGTTTTGTCTGGGTTCCAGCCATGGCCAGTAAACATAAGAGTGGATCTAGTGACATGCCTGTTGTCAAGTAAATAGTAAGACCCTGGCATTGCGATAAAAGTGAACATTATCAAGCAAGCTGAGAAAGGAGAGACTCCGAACTGGATCGATCATTCCTTAGGGTTCAACTGCTTGACAGTTAGGATGATTCCCGAGGACAAAATTAGAATCATGGAACTGTGTGAAGGGGGCTGTTCCGATACAGGTATCCATTGTTTAGCAGCACACTGGACCCTCACTTTATGTGAATTCACGTTTATGCGGCGACCCTATTTCTACCTATAATTAATTTTATGCAGAAAAGATTCCCTATTATGCCTTCTGTAGAAGATATGGCACTCTAGTTTTATATTATATTACAGTGTATATTACTGTATCTTTATTTCTAAGCCACATTTGAGTATTTTAATGATTTTTCTGCAACTTTTATGGCATTGATGCTCCAGAAATGGTTGTGAAATGTGGTACAGTGTGTGTGTCTACTGCGTTGTATGGGACGTCAGGGGATGTTGCTGGAGTGGTGAGTCAGTCACTCCACACACTTTCTCTTTCCACACAAACACCCATGCTCTTCATATGTCTCAGTTTATAGTGTTAGTGTATATTATATTATCTTTATTTCTAACCCACATTAGAGTATTGTAATGATTTTTCCACAACTTTTATAGCATTACTGTTAACTTTTAGTCATTGTGGAACATATCCTAATTTTCCCCATAAGATTAAGTATTCACTATATGCGGAATCCCATTATGCTGTGTTGTCGCAGAATGCAACCATAGCATAAAGCGAGGGTCAAGTGTAAGTCTCTTGTTGTTAAGTGTCTTCTGCAAAAAAATTTATTTTTGACAACCGTTCTCGCTTAACAGTAAGTCAAAATTTGGTTTAGCGATAGCTTAATGACTCGCAGGGAAGGGGGGAATACAGGCATGCCCTGGGTTGTGGAAGGGTTCCGTTCCTGAAAATATTTCTGTATCGTGAAACCATTTTCCCGTTAATTGACTCCCATTATATAAGTTGAGATGCGTTCCCAAGGAAAAAATTTTCAGGCCAAAAACATAACACAGGCACATGTATGAATGAAAATAGACACATACAATGATTCATTCATGATGTAACATGACAATAAATGCACACATTTGAACTCTCCAATGCAGTTCCTCTATGGACTCTTATCACCACTGCTGTCACCTGAACATGATGGTTTTTTCCCACTCATCTTGAATAAGGGTACATAGTAACACAGATGCATAACTGAATACAAACTGGGGAAAGAATTCAAACTGAGCAGCACCTTTGTTGTTATGGCTGCTAGAAGCTGAAGAGCTGAGCCACCCACCAGTGGTCATGTAACTTCCACCAGAATCCACGCGAAATAAATTGTATAATTTCGGTGAAATTTTTTGTTCTATACACTATTGCGATTTAAAAAAAATCTTAATGAATTAACCATAATTCCGAAAGGGCGACAGCAGTCCTGAACACAGACGCATAACTAAACACAAGCTAGGGAAAGAATTCTAACTAAGCAGCGCTATTGTTGTGGTGGTTGCTGACAATTGAGAGGGTGAGCAGCCTTCCAACTGTCTTTTAGCTACCACTAAGACTCCACACAATATAAATTTTATAATTTCAGTGAATTTCTTTGTTATACTGTATATCGCAATTTATATGTTTGAAAATTTTCATAAATTTAAAAAAATTCCGTACAGGCAGGAATCCCCGTTAGCCGGAACTCTCCAGTACCCGGAATTAAAATTGGGTCGGATTTTTTCCTGAAAAATTATCTCAATTCTGGGTCTGTGAGCGAGTTTCCAAGGTTGAAAATCAGGCACATTTTCAGAGAAAATTCAGAGAAGGTTCCAAAAACATTTCTCCAAATCTCTGTTTTGGGTCTGGGAATAAATTTTCAGGGAGTTCCAAGAGCTTGCATCGTGCTCCAATGCATTCTTATGTGCCGGACATGTGGGTGGCCTAATTTCTTGGATCGCTTAGTTCATATTCTGCTGTCATTTTAGAAGGTTGTTCCCTCGCTAGCTGCTGTTTTTACTTACAATTTGTGTTGTGCAGTGCTGTACATTACTGTACCATGACAAGATTAGCCAAGAATACAGTGTTAAAGCAGTGTTAAGACTGTAAAAAGTAATTACAATTACATATACAGGTAAGCCTTGAGATATATTCTTGAAAAACCCATTATAACATGGGGTTCAATGGGATACGTTCCCAGCCAGTTCCCAAACACACAAGTATCACTGACAAAAAAATTCCTACAATACTACTATCAGTACAAAACAATTAAACAACACTCACCACATCATAATGGACAAGTCTGGTCATCATCACATGTCCCCTTCGAGGCTAAGGGGACTCTTGTAGGTGGAGTGGAGGTGTCACTCTGACTCCCACACAGCCTCTGGGGAATCTCATGCTTCTTAACCCTCAAACGTCGGGCTAGGAGAATTTTTATTGCCCCCCACAGACGGGCTAATTTAGAAAATTGAAAAAAAAATCTGAAGTTGTTATATAGATTGCAAAAATCACAATAAAAATCTCCCTCTCACTCTCCTTTGAGTATAAAAAGGCAGTAAAATAATGGCTGTGATGTCATCGAATGTAGCAATGTTGCGGGACCTAGCAATAATGGCTGCCTCACTACACGTCACCCATTTTATAATCTTTTCCACAAACACCCAGAAGGTAGAAAACCAATTTCATTTTTTTTGTAGTATCCCCAGTAGGCCTAATCCACACTTTGTTTGAAATAAAATTTATATTTTCAGGGCAAACTAAACAGAATAGACTGTTATAACATGAGAGTTGCACTTAATATGCAAAGAACAAATGAATGTCCTCTCAATAATATTTTAGTGACAACATGTGTACTGTTATGCCATTCATGGAAATCATTTGATTTTTTCACAATCATAATTACTATATCTATGGTCATGAAGTGTAAAAAATAACAAACATATTCACTGTCTTCTGGAAGCCAATAATTCTGACACAGGCCTGGTGTTGATGTATCAATGTTGGGAATGTTTGGCATAAAATTTATCCCATCACTCCGAACAAAGGCAAAATTTGTACTATCCTGGGGTATAGTAGTAGCTGGTGGTGAATCAGTCACTTACTTGGGTACTATCAGAGTCACTTTCCTAGGTAGCAGGCGCAGCCATTGTTCATGTTGGTGTGTCACGTGGTGTAGAGCGGCGTTGCCAAGGTTCAATTTCCTCCACCGAGAAATTACTTAAATCTTCATCATCTGGTTCCCACCAATTCTTCCATCCTTCCCAACTTGAAATAAATTTCTTCAGTAGGAAGGTTTTTCTTTCTTCTATATCTTTTTCCATGTTATGGCCCAGGCTCTGCTGATAGTGGTAACACTGCGCTCACTGCTACACTCCCTACAGGCTCCCACAAGTGGAGAGGTAGGAGCAGAAGTTGTATCTCCTTCCTCCATGACTCTTTGGATCGCACTGAGGCATACTGTATGGTGATTGGCTTATCTAGTCGGCTCGAGGGGTTGCTGAGGAGACACCTGGTGGGCTAAATAAGAAAATTTTTACCTGGGACATTTGAAAAATGCCTTGTTGTCATATGACCACACCCAGCATTTGTTTTTTGGATCATCCTCTGACAATAACCATCGTTTGAGGGTTAATAATGCCGAGCTTCACCTCAGAGAGACAGTTGTCTTGCATACCTTGGCCTTCCCAGACATTTTCAAAGTTACACTGCTCACTTCACAGTCACAAAAATAAAGCAAAAGCACTTGTCACAAAAACAAAGCGAAGGATGATAAAAGCAATGATAGCAGCCGACACTGCTCATATTTTCAAAACAACAGAGTCGGCCCACCTTGCAGTCACAAACCACAGGAAATATCTCTTCATGGTCACCATAACAGTTCAATCTAAATGTTAGTGCTGTCCTCTCACTATATAAGGAAAAAATCACTGATAAGTACAATGTACGGTGCTGGCTAATAATAATTGAGCCATTCAGTGGCGGGTTTATGATCGACAAACAACCAAGGGAAGGGCTGTAGTGTGCGGGTTGGCCATGGGTGGGCTTACAAGTGAAGGTAGAGAAGCGTCATGCAGAGGGTTAAATATTGTTTCCTTATAAAATATCACTGACTTGACAAAGAAAGATATAACTTGCATTGCTAGAATCCTTGCAAGACAGCGATTAATTTGAGTATAAATAACCCACAGTTTGCACAAGAGAAAAAAAATCCAACCAATGGATATTGATGGCTATTCAATGTATATCATTGAAGCAAGTTGTTTTGATCGTACAG